TATTTTGAAGAATGTCCTACGTGAGCAAAATGCATTGAAAATGTTCTGCTCTATAAGGATTGTAATAATATTTAATTATTCCTGAAATTGTAACTATTATAATGTTAAAGTCTTTCTCACTTAGAAAATACTGGTGTTCTTGAAGCCATAAGCCTTGGTTTTCAGTAAATCAACTCAAACTGTTTGCAAATAAATCAGGAAAAATATGAAAATGGATTAGGTTTTGGACCTACAAAACAGATACCAATAGAAAAGTTAATGGTTTTGCTCAAAAATTATCTCCCACTGTTCAAAAGCAGCTGTTTCCAGGGGGCTCCTTTCACTGTTGTCCCACATCCCAACAGTGACAGTGGGATCCAGGGTTTCAGCAGGTGTCATCAGGCTGGAGGAGCTGCTGCAGCAGTCTCTTCAGTCAGCTGGGAACACAAATGGATGTCAAAGTCTGATACAGCACAGAAGGACAAAGAGAATGAAATTGGGTGGTCTCATTTACTACGCTGAAATCATTACAGATATAGTTACAGAAACCTTAGAAAACAAGAAAGTCAAAGAGTATATAACAGCATCATTAAATCTTTTTAATTATTATTTAAAACACCTTTTATGGAGCAATTTCAAACCGTATGTTTTTACAATTATTTTAATTTTTTGCCTCTCAGGCATGAACTGCTGGCATGAAAGATCAGGTTTGTCCTTTTAATACAGGTGATACAGGCCTGGTTTATCTCCTACTCATTTAAGTTCACCACTCGTCCCTTCCCCATGCTCCATGAATCCAATAATTGAGAAGGATGGATTCTGTGTGTGTGCACATGCGCAAGAAAATAAATTATTGCTACTGACACAGAGTGGCACCCAATTCATTAACAATATGGCACCATTGGGAACTCCTTTATTAAGAGAGAAACAAAATGAATACAGAGGGAAATTTCTGAGTGTCTGAACCCGTAATTCCCTCTGAAATTAAGAGAAACTTTGCAATGGTGGTGTAGGTCAGCAAAATGTTTGATTCCTCTTTCTCAGTGAAAGGAGAATCTAGGAAGCAAATATTTCTCATTCCGTGTTGTCTTTCAAGACCTAAAAAAATTTCCTTCTCTTAGGGAAATGTGAAATTAATAGGAATTTTATTATTTGAAAATCAAGGGATGGGAGTAGGAAAAGATTTTTAACAATCAAATTTTTTAATGCAAGTCATATTAACCTGTTTCCTTTTAACATTTAACTTCTTTGTCAGAATATTCAAACCAGAGATCTAAGTTTAAAAATTTCACACTGCAAACTGAAAACTACATTCAAAATAGAGAAATTAATTTTGAAAATGTCAGCTAATCCAAAAATCATATATACAAACAACACTTTTTCTAATTTTTTTTGTTTGATTTGGGTTTTTTCTTGTTGTTATTTGGAACATCCCACAAACAGTTCTAGTTCAGTTGTGTGGGAACTATTTCAACAGGAAAAAAAGCAACTGGTTTGGAGTGGAGCTACTGACAGCAAATATAGGAGATCCGAGAAACACAAATGCATGAGTTATTTGGAGTAAAGCAAAGTGTAATTTAGCTGTACAAACCCCCTGCCACAGACACAATTACAAATTTCTTTTTTTTTTTTTTTTTTTTTTAGCCAAATCACAGCCCAAAGCCAGACCAGCTCACCCACTGAGCATTCCTGGGCAGTGCTGAAGCTCCTCGGGCTGGTCCAAGCCTGGCCCCAAGCGAGAATCACATTCCCCACCGAGCCAGCCCTGTGATGGTGCAGGGATTGGGAGCTGCTTTGGTCCTTGGGTCTGGCCTGGACCTGGGCTCTTCCTTCATCCCTCTCTGGAGGCCCAGGATTCCAGCAGGGCACCTGGGCAAAGGATTTCCCCTGTGCCACCATCCCAGTGCTGCTCCCCTGCAGCCAACCCTGCCCTGGAGCCCCTTTCTCTTTTATGCCTCTTTTACACCAAATCATCCACCTCAGCACCTCCCAAGGTGATGATGAATGAGACTCAAGGTATCCATTTGATCCCCACACCACCATTCTGGGTGAAGCCAACCCCATCCAGAGGGACAGGAACTAAAGCCATGCCACTGATGTCAATCACGTTATTTCAGCACACAGCCAGGGTCTGGGCGTGTGGTTGTAGCTTCAGGTGGCAGGTAGAAGGATTTGCACCCCTCTGTCAGTGCCATCCATCACTGCTGCACCCATGGGCACCAAGGAAACTCCTTCACCAAAGAACCAGCAGGAACATCCCTCCTTGAAACAGGGAGGAACAGCCTGGCACAACTGAAAGGGAAACACAATCAAAATAGAAAAGCAATGGCCAGAAGCACAGCAGGGCAGCAGTACCATTGCCCAGAGCTTTTCCTAGAAATAGATTAAGAACAGGCAGACCAGAAACTTCCCACTTCATTCTGACTGTGACTGTAAAAACAACTGACATGAAAACAACTACCGTATACTTGATTTACATGTTCAGCCTCAAAAAATACTGTAGAAATCTGTAGAAACACAGTAGCAGCAGTGGTTTGGAAGGAGCTGTGCCTGGCAGGGGAGGGCAGCAGGGCCAGCAGCACAGGGCTCGGCAGATCCCTCTGGGAAGGCTGGTGTTCACAAGTGCAACCCCAAATTTGAGATAGGGGGTGTGGAAAGAGTATCATCATGCACACCCAGCAGCCACCTGTGAGGTTCATGAGGCACCCAGAGAGCCCAGACCCTCTCTCAAAGAGGGGATCAGCACCAACCTTATCCAAAACTGGAGCTCAACACGTGATTCAGCCCACAGCCCACCTCTACTGCAACAGAACACTTTGGATATCTGTTTCCATCTTTTAAAAGCTATGAAATAGATACCATTGTGTTCCTTATTTGTTGTCACATTCATTGTGTGGCCACGTAAGTGGTATTGCTAGGAACATATTCTGCTATCATTATATTAAAAACCAAAATAATTAGTGGAATAATCTGCCTTTCAAAATACTGAGCATAGCAGGCTTTTGAGATTTCAATCAGATTTGGGTGCTTCTGAAAGCTATTGATTTGAAAAAAATCCAGGACTGGTTCTCAATAACTTTCATTAAAACTATACCTCAGCAAAGGCATCCTTCATCCTCTATCTTTTGCATGCTTTGTTACGTTAGAAAATCAAATCAGCATAAAATGCTTGACAGGGAAGGGAGAAATGTATTCAGATTTAATCTAGTGATTACGGTTCATTCGTTGCAAACAGCTCCTTCATCAAGGCCATCAGGTGAATTATTAACCTCTTCCATCCACAAACAGAAAAATACCTTCAGTCACGAGGAAGCAATGCAGGAAAAAAGGTTGCCCGGGTTATCTGCAGAAAGGGACATGGCATGGTTCACTCTGCAGAGGAAAATACTGCTGGGGGGAACAAGGCAGGGAGAAAAGGGCAGACCACTGGTTTTGAGCAGCTGGGGAGCAGGCACAGAGCAGGTAATACAGCTTCTGAGCAATTAACTCAGCACATAAATAGAGCAGCAGTTAGCAGGTACATGCTGTTGTTCCTTCTAGTCACTCCTGACACTGCTCTCCAGGCTCTGCAACAGGTAAGAGGCATTTCTGAGTGCAGGCTGTGGGAAGGGGACTCTTGGCCGTGCTGGGGGGAAGGATTTTAATTTGGACTTTCTTCCAAGAAAAGCATTTCTGTGGCAAAGAAAAGCCAAACAGACAGAAGGGCTCTGGCAGTGGTGGAAGGAAAAGCAGAGAGGACAGGTAGAGAAACCCACTGGGAAGGCTGGAAAAAAGGGGTAAATGACGTACATTGGCAAATGAACATCAAGGCCAATTCATGGTGTTTTAAAAGGCATATAAGAAAAAGGAGTCAGAAGCCAAAATTAGTTTAAACAGAAGGAGAGAGAAAACAATAAACTAAACTCATCCAAGTGCCTCCCCTGCCCTGCTTCTCACAGGGTGCCCATCACTCCAGCAGCAACAGCAGCAGCACCTCACCAATCTTCACAGAGCCCCCTGAAACTCAGCTCCATCTGCAAGGAGGGAGGTCCTGGGATGGCTCCTGGTTGCAGCAGAGCAACTATTTGTTTCAGAATACAAATCATTCCCTATAAACTAATGCAAAATCAGCCTCTTGCTTTACATGACGCCCTTAAATTATAGTCTGTATTTTGCTATTGTATCAGAGTGCTGGGAGATTTGAGAGTAAGAAACCACAAAACTTTATTTTTGGCCTATGTACTTTTTAAGAAGTAAAGTAATTCCTCAAAGGTACCCAAAAAAAAAAATCTGGCATTACAACATGCAGGGGAATTTTACTGAAGGAGCTAAGACAGGTTGGAGGCAGCCACGATGCCCTGTCTGCCTCAGACCTGCTGCTTCATTGACCCCCAGGAGCACCCAGGGAAGGGGAGCTGGACATCCCAGCAGCTCCTGCACCAACTCCAGTCCCAGATGCTGGACGGGTCCTGCTGTAAATGCTCAAGGCAGAAGTGACAACGTAGGTTTGTTTCTTCAATTCAAAATGAATCTGCTGACAGAGGCAAAAACAAAGTACAGGGCTGCCAGGAACAGGAGGACACCTCAGCTGCACCCACCATCACGTCACTTCTGAAATTATTCATTTTGCTCCAAAAACCAGAAACTAGCAGTGGGGTTGTATCAGTCTTTGAGAAAGACTCCACAGCTTGGGGTAAAAAAAGGGGAGGGAAAGAAAGGAAAAAACCAATAATAAAAGCATTATATAAACCAAGTTCATTATCCTGTTACACCAAGGCAAAAAATACCTTTGAAATAAGAATCACCAGCAGGTCGAGCTTTACACATTTAAAGGGAGTGGTTGTTTCCAAGCTGCTTTTACTGCTTTCAAATCCTAGTTTAGAGCAAGGGCTCAGAGGTCTCCAGTAGGGAGGTTTCCCCTGCTTCTAATAGAAATTCCAATCGGCCTTATGGATGTGATCCCAAATAAAGGCAAATGGGGAAAAAAAGGAAATGTCCTTCCCTTTAACATGATTAATACAACTGCCAAAAAACAGCATGAATTTAATAAATGCAATGTAGATTGTTTTATTTGACCTTCTGTTCACAAAATAATTTTATTATATGTATGAAAGCAGCATACAGGCAATAAAATTATGAAAACATTCACAATACATAAATACACAGACCTGATGCAGGATGTATATAGTTTGTTAAATTTTTTTTCCTCTCAGTTCTCTTTTCCTGACAACACATTTTTTTAATATATGTTATGAAAAAGTTGCTCCAAGGGGTATTTTCTCCCATTCAGAAAAGAAGTCGATTTCTTTGAACGCTGCTGACTATTAACACCCAATGTTCCTGTTGCTAATGCTCACCGATTGCTTTTGGCATTACAAAGGGAAGCAGCAGGGAAGGACAATGGAGAAGTAGCAGGTTTTTTAAATTAAACATTGGCAACTTTTTTGGAGTTCACAGGAGGATTTTGAGGTGGGGGCTGCAGTTCCATCCATATTTAGAAATGTCTTAATCCAAAATGGCAATGAGGCACTATTCTTATTGAATGGACTATTGACACGGCAATTATTAAAATGTAATGTCCTCCCAGTTCCCAAAGTAAAGCACCAGGTACCTCACGTTTTAATTCTGACCGTGATAGAGTAGCAGACAGACAGAATGACCCGGGTGGTCCTGCAGTAACACCAGTGATAACGACGTTTGGCATCTTTACTACCATTATAACCCATTGTGTTTGTTCAGAAAAGATATCCAAGACTTGAAATAAGAAATAAGAAAAGTCTGAGAAAGCTGTTTATCTTACATAAATACAAAACATTATATACTAAGAATTGTTATCTAAGACGCTCTCCTTCCCAAATTGGATTCTTCTTAAGGTTGTAGTCATATTTAAGGTATTTACAGATCCACAAACTTGACATTCTAGCAAAGTCTTTGTAACATGAAACTTTTTAAAAATAAATAGCAGCAATTCTTTTATTTCTATAAGGGAAGAGAATTCACAACTCAGTCAACGCTGGTCCTATCTTTTGAAAGAAATCCCACTTAAAAATAAAAAAAGCCCACAAGCAAATGAACTCCACACAGCATCGGTTTAGTTGATTCCTTCATTTCTTCCTGAGCTTCTTAACATTCCTCTATTCCCCTCACCAGCTCTCCAGACTATCCGAGCTTGTAATAAAGTGCTGACTGGTTGACTGGTCAAAATGTAGTTATGACACTCCAAAAATATCCCATTATTTAGACATCTTAAATAACGTAAATAAAGCTAGATCTGTTATAACATATGAAAAATATCAATTTAAAACAATAAATAAATAAAACCAGTATCAACATATTACCTCCCAAAGCTTTAAAAATAACCATTCTCATTATAAGGCTCAATTATTTTTCAGAAATAATTTTAAGAAGGCATCTACCTACCTTTACAATCTCTCAGTCTTTAATTAGGACCTGTTAACACCCACTATCACAACACACAGCAATCTTTTTACTTCTAGTAAACATTAATCTTTAAATACTCAACATTTATCTTTTGCCTCACTTTAAGCTGAAAATTGGTTTCTCTGTGTAGAGAAGCAATATTTTCTTTGTCACTGCACTGTATCTAAATTTGTGTATTTTCCTCAGTATGAACAGTACAGTTTAACATCTTTTTTTATAACCAATTTCCAGTATCTTTTTGTGTTTATTGTTTAAAATGTTAAATTTGCTTTGAATGCCAGGAAAATTAATTCTGGGCTTGGTGTAAATGTGTATTTTTCTCCCTAGAGCTTAGTTTCTTACCAAAAAAATCTTGTATTTTTCCCCAAAAGATTATTACAATATACACCGTTGGGTCTTGCTGAGCAAACCTTACTGTTCAGGTTTTATGCTGCCCATTTTGTGTAATGGGATTGATCTTTTCCAAAGAAACATCAGCTTCGTAATCCAAGATACCCGACAGTGCTGGAGACATTTTCTCCAAGGTCTTAGATAGTTCACCCTCTTCTTCCTTTTTGAGAGGTTCTTCTTCCGGACAGATAATTGAATGTGGAATCAGATAAACCAGATTAGACTCCTTGGGGCTGGACCCTTTGGGCTCGTGTTGGCTTGAGAAAACTACTGCCCCATTGTTGTTAATGCTCACAGTCTCTATGGCATTGCCAGACATCGGGCAGAGCCTGTAGCAGCCCAGCAGGGTCGAAAATGCCTTGCGGAAGTCAGCATTGAAGGCATAAATGATGGGGTTGAGGGAAGAATTTGCCCATCCAAACCATACAAAAACATCAAAGGTGGTGGAATTAATGCAGAAAGCCTCTGCTCCCTTGGATGGCTGGGTAGGCTCGCAGAAGGGAATCATGCAGTTCAATACAAAAAATGGCAACCAGCAGCACACAAACACCCCCATGATCACTGACAGAGTCTTTAAAACCTTTGTTTCCCTCTTGAAGGACATTTTGAAGTTGCTCTCTGGTTGCTGGCAGTCCATACTGCTCCTGTTGCCGCTCGTGTTCTGGCAGTTCTTTGCGTGCACTGCTGCTCTCTCCAGAGCTGAGATGCGTCGTATTTGCTTCTGAGCAATCCGGTATATCCTCGTGTAAGTCACTATCATGATGGCCACAGGTATATAGAAACTAATTAGAGAAGAGGAGATGGCATACATCCTGTTTAGGCTAGAATCACAGTTGTCCATGCTTACACCTTGTAAGCTGGCATTCAAGTCCAAAAAGCTTGTGGTTGTAGCCTTGTGCCAGTTCAGCTGCACGGGGATGAAGGAAATCAACACGGACAAAGTCCACGCCACGCTGATCATGATGAAGGCTGCCTTGGGGGTCATTTTCCTCTCATACCTAAATGGGCTGGAGATGGCCCAGTATCTGTCCACACTAATGACACAGAGATTTAAGATGGAGGCTGTTGAGCACATAATATCAAAGGCCACCCAGATGTTACAAAATGAACCAAAAGGCCAGAAACCGGCAATCTCAGCCACAGCTTTCCAAGGCATGACCAAAACTGCCACTAAGAGATCTGACACAGCCAAGGAGATGACAAAGAAGTTGGTCACCTTGGACCTGAGGTGGCGAAACCTAATGACAGCTGCACAGACCAGCGTGTTTCCCAGCAGCGTGGAGAGGATCAGTAGCGAGAGGAAGCAGCCTGTGAGGATCCGAAAGGAAGAGGAGTCCCTTTCCACCAGCAACCCTTCCCCGTCCATAGTGGTGTCGTTCCAAGTCATAGTTTCTCCTGAGGGAAAATCATATCATGATTTTCATGACGACATCAGCTCCTTGCCTTGCAGAGATCAGAGACATCAGACGTCCATTAATTACTCATCACCAAACAGACCAAAGGTCCTTTCTTACAGTCCCTTCACCCCCAGATGGACCTCACCCAATTTGAATTATCCTGAAAAACATCCTGAAAGCTCTACAAGCAGGAACTGAAAATGCATAAACACAGTCTACTCTACAGACTGGGTTTTTTAGCAATCCCTTCAGAAACACACTGCACCACCCCAGCATGAAGTAGCTTAACTCAGACAGCTCACCTGCAAATGTTCTGCTGCTGTCCTCTCCAAACACACCCCACAGACAGGAAAGCAATCACTTTTCCATGCTTGCATATATTCTCACTTAAATAGACTATTGATCGAGTGTTTCCAGTGTCCATTGCACTAGCCCTTCATATTTACTGAAGCGTATTATACAAGGTGCCTTTTCACTAGTTCCCTAAATGTTTCACTGATGAAACACTCCATCCTTCCTCCTCAGTATGTTCCTGTTACAAAATGCATCGGTTCTCTGTTTCTTGGCAGTGTCAGAAAGGAATTCTTCACATTGTTTCAAACTCTTTTACCTTTCCAAGACAAAACACATAAACATACAGTAGGTGTGTTTGAAAGATTTTCAGTAAGAAGTAGCTCAGGTTATTTAGTTTCATTTAAACAAGAAATGCTGGCTCCTACCTTTCACCTCTGATTCTCTCTTTGCTCTGGGATGCAGGGCCGTCTCTCCTCCTCTTTTAGTTTTGTAATTGCATAGCAAATCTTATATACAAAACCAGCACAGGAACACTGCATTGCATGGTGTGTGTTTGTTTGTTTTCCTGAAAGTGCAAATTGGCAGGGGAGAAGTAAGAGTTGGACCATCAAGGAGTTAGTTTTCAAGGGAGCAGCAGGTCTGTGCTGTCAGACCGTGCGTGACGGATCCTGCTGGTGCGTGCCCAGCTCCCTCCATCCCACGGCCCCTGCTGATCACTCTGCAAACTTTGTTGGCCAGATCAGTCCCAGTCGCACTTTGTACATCCCGTGGAAGTGGCACATCAGGGCAAATCATCCCAGGCAAAAGGCACGGTATTCCCAACACTGGCAAGAGCCGACTACCAGTTCTTTCTACTGCCGTTCGCTGGATGCAGAAAGAAGGGCGAGAGGAGGAGAAGGACGTGAGTGACCTTCCCTCGGCCACAACGCCGGCGGTGCCCTCAGTGGGTTCCTCTTCCAGCAGGGACAAGTCGCTTTAACACTCCACTGCCAGGTTATAGCTCTCCATAACTACTCCGGAATAATCCCACCTCCTGCTCAGTGGGGCTGCGCTCCAGGGATCGGGTCCAGCTCTTACCATGCTTTTTCCCTCTCGGAAAGGCGCAGGCGGAGGCAGTTCCTCATTCTCTCCCGCAGCCCGCCCCGGGCCACGCATCTCCCGGCTTCCTTCTGCCCGGGGCAGGGCTCGGCAGCATCGCCCCTCCAGGAACGCTCTGTCTGCCTGGCGACTCCTTCCTAAAGGATTAAGACAAGGGAATGACAGGCATGGAGGCACGCAGCGGGCAAAAAACCACCCCCCTTCGCCTCCTCTAACATCTTCGGTTGGGCGCAGCTTCTTCTGGGCAGCTTTTCCTGCCTTCCTGGGGAAAAACGTCCCGGGCAGCCGGGACGAGAGGCAGAGCTGGGCTCCGGGAGCGGCTCTCCTGGAGTTTAGCGCAGACGGGATTACTTTGCCCGGTCCCGAGCCCCGCCGAGCTGCGGGACGCCCGGGGCGCTGCGCGATGCCCCGGCGCTGCGAGCCGGTTCAGTGAACTGATGCGGACAGTGAGTACCGGCACCGCGCCCCCGCGATGGGCGATGCTCGGGGGGGGCCGCGGGACGAGGCACCGCGGCTGCCCCGACCCGGGGGAGCGGCGTTCCCCTCGGGGCAGGCTCGGGAGGGGCGGCCGGGAGCCGCTCCCGGCGCGGCGGGGCAGGGGCGGCGGGAGGCCGGGGCTGGGGGCTCCGCCGGGGCCGCGCTCCCTGCGCGCCGCCCCCCGCCTGGCGCAGCCCCGCGGCTCCTGGCGCAGCCGCGGCCGCCGGGCTCCCTCTCCTGGGCGGCCGAGGGGTGGGCACGGACGGGGGCCGGCAGCCAGCCCCGCCGGGGCAGCGGCCGCAGCGAGGGGACGGGACGAGACGCGTCCGCCCCGCGCCCCCCTCCGCGTCCTCCCCGCGTTCCCCCGTCGTTATCCTGCGGGCATCGTTGTCCCGCGGGCAGGCAGGGAGGGAGCGGGGAAAATCCACAGCCCGGGCTCCCGGGGCGTGTGGCTGCTGAGGAGCCGCATCCCCACTGACTCGTGCGGGTTCAGGCGATGGCAAAAAGAGGGGACAAACACTGCGGAGTCGCCGGAGCCCCAAACGGGCACCCCCGAGGTGAACCCATCGGCAATGGGACCTGCCGCTCTCTTCAAAACCATTTTTCTCCTTTGCAAAAATCCTTCCCGTTCAGTAGTAAGCACCAAAACCAGAGCGGTTATTCTTCGAACCCCTTCGTTTTCCACAAGGGTTTTTTCTTGCTTACCTTGGCTGCAACAGGCAGTGAAAGATGAACATGCTGATTTGCAGCCTTTGCATAGGAATCTTACCCCCAACAATCAGAAAATAGATATAAAAGACATCACAGGGAGGTTAAGAAACGTCCTAGAAGAACAAATACTCTAAGCTGTCAACATAAATTTCATGAGGCTCAGCACTAGTGAAGTTGCTTTTGTGCCAACTGGCATTTTTCATAATGCCAGTTAAAGCAGACACAGTGCTAAGCTAACCTTGACTAGTTAACTGAAACACTTATCTGCCTTTCTCCTTCTCTTTCTTTTTTTATAAATTTTAACTGCTTCTCAGCAAGTTCTCATTCTCCGCAACCTCCTCCTGCTTATTATCCTGTCCTTTAATCATCATTCATCCTCAGAGGAGGGTGAAAATAGACAAGAAAATGAATCCTGTGCTGTTTGGTAATAGAGATCTCTAATGAAAGTCACTGTAAGTTTTCTCTTTCTATTTTCAAGATTTTTTTGCTTTTGTCTCCTTCTTAAAGCACCACACAGGTGAGGTTTACTGCATGATATGCATTTTCCAAAAAGGTAGCACACTCTTTTTTTTCCTCAGAAACCCTGGGCTGAGGGGAACATTGCTGGGGGGGAACACAGAAGTCACTAAGCATATTTGATTTTATTTGCAACAAATTCCAGAGGCTCTCCTAAAATTACTCTCTGGATTATTCCAGGAGAAATCACAACTCCCGAGCACACAAAAAGCAGAATTTTCGAAGCATATTGCAGAGAAACACTGAGGTACACATTGCAGAGGAGAGACCAGTTTGCTCTCAAGCATCTGCTTATCAGCTCATTCAGTGAACTCTTTAGTTCTTTTTTACCAGGAAGTGGCCTTTCCTCGGGAAGAGGCTGAATTCAGCGCTGGAGGAACATAATGCTGCTCAGATGAGTGAGGGTTTCAAACTTTCATTCGACATTAATTTAACTTCCTACCCACCAAAGCCTGTAAGACTCTCACAGGCCCTATTTTTTTGGCAATTCAAGTATCAGTTTCAGAAGCCAGAGCCTGTTTCCTGTGTCTTCTTTAAGTTTGTGTGACCAGTTCAGGGATGAACAAGAGGTCTGGATCAGCCCTGACTGCACTAGTGGAGCAAAGCCCCTTCAGCAGCTACAGTGGTTTCAAACACCAGCAGTTCACGCAGGGCACCCTGCTGTACTCATTTGTCATTTCAGCTAATTTATAAGCTTTTAAAACTTTCAAGACTTAATAGTCATACCCAGGTGAGGAACAAAAGTGAAATCCATTAAACCCCTATTATTATTTAAGTAAATTTAGTGGTGGCATTAGGAAGCTGATTGACATGACTCTGGGAACCAGTTACGTGAGTGTTGGGTGAATTTTCCTTTTGCTGCTCTCTGACCAACCTGCCCTCAGCCAGTGCGAGAGGGATCAGCTCTCATCCAGGTCTGGACTTGCCTAAAACTGCCAGCAACAAGCTGTTGGTGCAGGTGTTTCCTGGAGATTCAGAAACAAGCACAGAGCTTTTTTAATTCTCCCTGGGTACCAACATAAAACAGCTGCTTAATTTTATGTAATGCTTTTCAATCACTTCTGACTGATGCTGGATTCAAAGCATGCCCACCAAAGGAAAGCTTTTGTGTCTCCATTCCCACCCTGTGAGGCACCTGCTCCTGCCAGGGGACTTTGTTTGGAGAAGATCCTACTTGGTCCATATGAAGATTTAAAAATACAATTTATAAATACTGAGTAGCACCTTGATCCAAATGACCTCCATCCAAACAGTAATTAGCTACTGGAAGACCAAGTCAGAGTTGAACAAAGCCCATAGCAGAGATTCAGAGATAAAACATGCTTTAACCTAAAAAATAGTGCCCAGACTAGAGCTGGAGAAAGGCAACTGAATTTACAAAATATATCACAGTACATGGATACAAATTGTACTTACATCATTCTCAGGGTGCTTTTTTTTGTCTGCATGCATGGGATTTATTAAACATAAAATCAGCTGAGGCATGTTATCAGAAATAATGTCTAAAAGAACTGTCAGATTTGTAAATAGCTGGTTATACTAATAGGCCAAGATAACTTTATCCTCAGTGTAACTATCTCAGGAAAATCAGGGGTTCCTGGAAATGAAAAGAAATATATGAACTCTTTTAAAGATCACTGAAGCACATTGTTTAAATTGATATTATCATGTTGGGCATTCTACAGGGAAAACTACAGTAGTGAATAAAAAAGCACAGAGCAAAGAATGGCAGAAGCAAAAACTATTATTAACATCTCCAAGGATCTCAAGATAAGTCTTGAATGATAAAGGTCCATCAGCAAGAAGAAAGGATCATTGAGAGAAATGATTTCTAGTCCCCAGACACTGACAAAGAGAGGCCTAAATATTCAGTATTGAGTGTGGGCACTTTTTTTTGACTGTAGATTATAGGCATGTCCCTCCATGTCTGGGGGATTCAGTAGGGCTGATCTCAAAAAGCACATTAGTGCCCTTTTGATGTTGACTTGTGAAGTATTTCCAATGGCAACCAGTGCATGAAGCATCTCCAGGTATCAATCAGGTCACTGGTGAAGTGAGTGAGGAAATCTGAATGCTAACAGGGAAAAGAAAAATGAAAAAAGCCCAGACAGAAACACCATGTATGAAAGTCTGAATTTAAATGACTCATTTGAGGCAGCCAATTCAAGCAGTGGCAAAGCTGGACACAGAGGGTAATGCAGGAGGGTATGAATGGGAAGGATTTGCTGTGCAGTGCTACTGCTTCCTGGGATCTGGAGCTCATGCACTGGCTGCAGGGTGCTCAGGAGGCAGGACCAGGCACTGCTGCTCCCCTGGCATCTCCCCTCCCAGGACACTGATGCTTGACTCTTGGAGCTCAGCCCTGATCCCAGCCAGGAGAGCCCAACTCCATCCCTGGGCCACAGAGTTTGGAGCCTGCAGAAAGGATTTCTGCTCTGTGGGAATCAAGCAGCAACCTTTCAAAAAGCAGCCTCGTGTCACACACAAGCTTTAGGAGTGGTGGAAAACCACTCCTAAACTCCTTGTTTGTAAAGGGGAAGGAGCTGTGTTCACCTGCCATCCCCTTCCTGCTCAGAGCCCCTTCAGGCTCTGGTCCCCTTTCCCTCCCTCACCACTGACCTCTCTCTACACCTGCAAACCCAGAGCAGAGCTGGGGGGTTTCAGCTGTAATCCCCCAGATTGTACAACAAAATGGCTCTTTTTGGAGAGATGAGGAAGACAGGAAAGAAAGAGAAGTACCAAACCTGCAGCCAGGGATCCGAGAAGAAGCTGTCACCTGAACAGTCCCCAGCCCCAGGAGCTGTGGGTAATTTCAGCTCGGTGCAATGCTGCCAATAACTGTGTTATTTAATCGGCAGAGCTTATGCAGTGACTTTTTATGGGGTTTTTCCAGTTCCACCCACTCACTCCCACAGGACCAGAGAAAGAAAAGTTTCCTACAAGAAACGCTTGGAGTGACCTTCCTCTTGCAGCTCGACCTGCTCCATCAATGCAAAGGCCATTATTGGATCTTAAATCACCCTGGAAATCACTCAAGCAGGGAAACCTAAAATTTCCCCCCTTCTCTTTCTGGGATTTCCATTTGCCAGAGATACGGGGTAGGAGAGGGATTACTGCCCTGCCAACACTTCCCTCCAGAGTGGGTAGAGAGCCAAACTGCAGAGGATGATGAGAATAAATTATAGCTGAGAGGAGAGGAGAGCTCTAAGGAAAGAAAAATGCTTCCTCTGACTGCCTCATCCCTGCGGCACAGCAGAACAGTGCCAGGAAATCCACAGCAAACTAACAAGACCCTTTCTTCAAAACCTAATCTACATCAACAAATACAAAATATCTCAAAATTTCTGATCACTTCACTGACAAATGTAGACACTGGATGTACTGCTGAATTTTGTATTCTAAGCCATGTATATAAAAACCCTACAGGGCTGATTGCTGAGGACCTACTATATGAAATGGCTCATAAACTAGTAAATCAACACAAAAATACAGACTGAGCCATTCCTTCCCAATTTAGGCTTTATTTGCATATGCTTTTTTTTTTTTAAATAGTGTATAGCTTTCATTTTTTCTTTCACTCCACACTGGACAGACATTTTGGGCCCTCAGAAAAAAATTGAATATATGAATAAAAGAAAGTCACGGAAAAAAATGACAGCAATTTTCATGTTAAAGATGGCTTTGACATATTAATTAGTATCTCAGAAATGAAATAAAGCCAGTGATACAGAATGATTCATTAGAATGAAATTAATCTGAGGAATAATTAATTCTGAGGGGATGGATAAAAAGAATACAAATAGATATATTAGCAGCAAAACTCTTCAGCAATGACTGTGACAGTGATTTCTAGCAGCAGTGGATGAGACTGTGGATAATACAATTTTCTCAGCAGATGGTTTGGTAGGTGGCACTCTCTCCTAAGCTGGTGTTACAGATTTACTCCTGAGCTGCCTGCCAGCATCAAATAGATCCTAACCCATATTCCAGCCCAGCCCCTGACTGTTGGATGGAGAACTGTTTAAGAGAAGATTTGTGTGGTTTTCTGATGCAGGACATGTGATGATGAAGAGTGTCCTTGGTACCTACAACAAGTGAGCAACAGTTTGCCCTAGAGTCGATTATTAAATTCACATTATTACACATCCAGCATGGTCAGTCTTCACAGCTTTGCCACTGGCAGGCTACAAATCCTTGAATTAAAGATAATTAAACTAACACTTACCAAAAAAAAGAAGCATCACTTCTTGCTCATAGTGAAGACTGACAGCAGCATTTCAGACCTGCACTGCAGGGAGCCACAGGAGCCCAGCCAGGGCTCTCTGCATGGGGAGCAGCCCCAGGGTGCCCAAGGAGCACAGCAGGTGCAGCTGTGGTAGAGAGGGTCAACCAGCAGTCCAGCAATGACCAGACCACTCCAAATGTCCCACTCCTGAAGCTCTGTCTCAGGCAGCATTTTCCCATCTGCAGCTCCCCAGACAACCCTGCTGTGGTTGCAATGTCGCAGTTCCACCTTCAGGTTCTGGGATTAAACTGTTCTCCGAGGCAAGATGCTGGTTGTCAAAGTCAAGCACACAGTCTGGGCTTGATGGCAGTCAGAAACATTCCACCAAGTTCAGTATAACACTGGGACAAGAATCCAAACAAGAATCCATCCTGAGGTCTAAACTCTGGGCTGCTCCACTCCTCATGACAAACTTTCATTCAAACTTTTGAAAAACCCACTGATCCAACTGGATTACCCCAAACTACAGTATAACCCTAAATCCACTTTCACCCTAGCTCATCCGGATGCATTATCCTGTTCCAGCCTCCGTGCCTGTCCCACCACATCAGGCAAGACTGTTTCATCCCACAACGTGGGTAACATCTCCCTCTGCATCCCGCCTCGATGCCCTTGGCTTTTCCCTGCCCTGTGTTGCAAAGAGCCATTGTTGAGACAATCTCTAACAGACAGTACTTTCCCAGGCTGGAAATGTTCCCTGAGTTTCACCATCCATTTGTCAACATCTGTCCCAAGGTTAGGGGCCTTCCAAGCCAGCCAGTTCTCCCTGCTCCCTTCCTGCAAAGCTCAGCTCCCCAGGGCAGGGCTTTGCAGGTCAGGGCTCAGCTTCACCAACACAGGCATCCAGTGTCTCTTCCTCAGTCCATCAAACCAGTCCCCTCCATTTAGGAGACACTAAAATCAGGGATGTCTTCTAGATACAAGTTCCATTTCAGGAAAGGCTATAGGATCTGTTCCTATCTACTTTCTAGTTTTACTTTTCCCCCTGCTCTTTACAGTGATTTTCTCCTGTGATTTTCTCAGCATTTTGTTCTAAGAATTTCCCCTGTGTATTTAGGAACTATGGACAGCTCAGTCAGGATTTTTCCATTGTTTTCTTGCATTTTTCCACACTCAGTGCCAGCACAGTCATCAGCAGAACAATCCAGTACAGTGCACAGGGAGTTTCACCAACCAGGGGAACCTCAGGGGAGCCAAGAGAGCCACCAGAGCCTGCGACTGATGGGACCCAAGTGGGACCAGGAGCAATGGCCTCAAATTGCTCCAGGGGAGGTTTAGATTAGATATTAGAAAAAATTTCTTCACCCAAAGGGTTGTCAAGTCCTGGAACAGGCTGCCCAGGGCAGTGGTGGAGTCACCATCCCCGGAGGGATTTAAAAGACACGCAGATGTGGATCTTGGGGATGTGGATTAGTGGTGGCCTTGGGAGTGCTGGGGGAACAGTTGGACTTGATGATCATACAGGTCTTTTCCAACCTAAATGATTCTATGATTCTGTCTTCTTAGGAATTTCACATGCCTTTGTCGGATTTTCCTAGTGATCTCTGGGAATATACCCTCCAGCTTTCAAGGAGTTTCCACGCAGCTTTCAGGAAATTTCATGTTGCCTTCTAGGAAATCTCCCCACTGCTTTCCAAGTGTTTCTTTCCCCTTACCAGGAACTAGATTTTCTTTCTAGGAATTTCCACATACTTTCAAGAAATCCCTAATGACCTTCTAGAAATTTCCCTGATACTTTTTAGTAATCTTGTTCTATTTATAAGAATTCCTTTCTGCTTCCAGAATTTCCCTTCTGCTCTTTAGAAATTTGCAACAGCTTTCTAAGAACTGTGCATTTCTTTCTAGGATTCCTCCATTGCTTTATAGCAATTCCTCCTTACTTCTTAAGAAATTCCCTCTAGCTTTCTGGGAATTTGTAGCCAATTTTCTCAGAATTCACATTTTGTTTTCCTGGAGTCCTCCCACAGCTTTCTAGGAATTCAGTTTGGCTTTCTAAGAATTTCCCATGGTTTTTCCAGGAGTTGCCTGTAGTTTTGTAGGACTTTCATGTGGTTTCCTAGACATTTTCCATACCTTTATAGGAACTTCATGCTGCTATGAATCTCTCACCACTCTCTAGGCACTCCTATCACCTTTCAGGTATATCTATCATGCCATGACACAGTGTCAAGCGCTGTTCCATGCTGTTTGTGCTGCTGCATGTGGTGACATGCTGTGTGCTATTCCAAGTTGTCCTGTGGTGTCTTGTTTTGTCATATGTTGTGCTGCCAAGCCTTCTTCTCACCTGTTTTCTCATGTTGCTGCAAGCAACGTCTTGTGTGTCTTCTGCTTCTGCATCCTAAGTTCCGCCCTATGTGCCTGCAGGAATAAACATTTGAGAGTTCCTTTTTTTAACTGCTATTTTATAAAGCCATTAGAAAAACTCAGGAGCAGAAAGTATAAGGATTCAGCAATATCTGGTCTCTAGACGATGATGAAAAAAAATTATCAAGTCTGGCTGGAGCAGTTTTAAGATCCTGTGGCTGTTCCATGTGCCCTATGGGATATTCCTGCACCTCCTCTTGCCCCCACAGGTGCATATTGACATCCCAGATCCCTCAGCCTAGTCAATGGTCTTGCTGCCAACAGCAGCTGGCACAGATGCTTCAGGGCACGGACGATCCCACAAGAGGCATTTATAAAATAGCCACATCATAGAGGAAATGGCTTCCTAATCCCCTTGAAAGGCTGGTTTATCCCTTTAAACATAGTTTTATGTCCCTTCTAAATGCAGATTGGCTTTTCATCTTCATTCCCTTCCATTCTTATCCAATATAACTATGCATCTAGAGAAATAGGAAAATTGAGTGTGCATCAATTTAGCTTGGCACAGTATAGCATGAGTAACCTAGAGCTGAGTTCAAATATTGCAGATGGAGCCAAAACATTTAAGTGATTTTGTAAGTAACACTCTCTCAGCTTATATAAGAGTTTTATTACAATTTATATTGCCAAAAAGTGTAGTGTTCCTTGTCTGTTTGATCAAGTTTCCCACGATAATAGTTTACTCCTTATCCGCTGAGAATGAAAAAAACGGGTGATGGTTTTGATATACTGGCACAGCCTCACAGGCATCTCTGGCTCATTTACAGAAATAATCCTTGAACTCTCCCAGACTGTACTGACGTCCCTTCCAATCTGGGGTTTGGATTTTCTACATAAAATTAATGTACATTACGTCAGGAGACCACAGGAGATGCTGTATGTACATGGTTCACCTTGTCCAGCATTCTGCTCCTGATGGCAAAACCCAGCACAAAGCCTTCCCAGGCACTTCCGATCAAGTGCTAATGAACAGTTCCCAGAAATGTTGCTGGTTTCTTCTGGCAAACCCCTGATAACGCCCAGCTCGGTGCCAAGGCCAGTTCCTGATACCATATTCCAGAGCCGGCAGCTGAAAACACCCCAGTTCCTTGCACTGTACCTTCAGGAATGCCACCACATCATTCCCCACCTGCTCTACAACCACTTTTTTCATGGAACAGATAAGTCTTGACATCTCCCACGCTTGCCTTTACTCTCTGACTGCACTGTTTATCATCCAAGGTTTGGAATTCCTGGTCCTGCAGTGCCACTTACTGGACATTTATGTTCATAAAGTCATTGTGCAGCAGCTCTTCATTTTCTCCATTGATTCCCAGAGCCAATTTGAAATGGAGAAAACCAAAAAACACTAATGACCATTTAGGAATACAGGAGAGCTTGAGAAAAGCAAATACAGTAAAACTCATTTCTTAGATGAGGCAGTAATTATAGAGGAATAGAAATCCTCTTTTTCTGGTCACTGTAGAGAAGAATTTGCCCCGTAATAGTCTGGGAATTCTTCCAGGTGGAAACATGCGGATGATTAAATTCATCCCTAGTTCAATAAATACATCTGGGGATTTACAGGAATCTTATTAATATATTCCTTGGGAAATAAGGCAACTGAAAGGAATGCTTCAAAAGGAGCTGGGGTAGGACTTATTTGATTAATCCGGTCATACTCTCTAGGCATGTGTTTTCTGTATGTACCATTAGTACTTGGCTGTAATTTAACAAGGAAGACACTACACTGTGCATGAACCTGTAAGAAAACACACACTTTTGTTCACCCATGAGGTACTGACTGATCACATGAGACTGGCTGTGTAGGAGTCTTTTGGGGGGCCAGGACTTTTGAAGAACAAGTCCACAATATTCAGTTTCAGATCAATGTGCTCAAAACCACATTCTGACGTCTGTCCCTCCTGATTCTCCAAGGTAGAGAGCTGGCTGGAGACCACGGGAGCCCCTCCAGCCCACCCACCCAACCTTCTGCTCATGGAAGGCACCAGTAGGATCAGTACACCAGGCCTCAATGTAGAACAGAAACAGGATCAGGCCAAAACCCCCGTGTGAATCTGGGAGCTGGCACATCCTCTTAGATTCGGTATTTTTTAATACAGCCAAAAATTTTACTGTGAAAATTATTGCAGATGAAAAAACACGTGTAGTCAGAGGTCAGATATTTTTTGTGACTACTCAAATTCACCCATTTGCCTGGTAGTTTGTAGCTCATGAGCAATTGGTGGTGGTTGCTCAGAGCCATCTCAAAATTTTTCAGGATTCCTGGCAAAATATCAGATTTGTTTCTCAGCAATGGGAGAAATTACTCATCTAGTGAAAGAGAAGTTACGTAGCTGTTCAAAACCATCTGCACTGAGTATAGAGCAAATTATTAACTAGAGGAATGACTGCAGCTTTGCATGTACCAACTCAGAGAAAGAATTTAGGTATTCATACATCTACATTAGAAAGTCTGCAAGCAGAATTTCAATTGTGAAATGCAGAAACGACCCAGGTGTGCTTTTAAAGCAGATTAACAAGCTAGTATCTTTGGCATATAAGAAAATTATTAGAGGCAGAACACATCAGTCCTCAGAATGTAAACCATATACCACAGCACCAGTTATACCCACAGACAACTAATTTATTTCTGTGCACGACATCCAGCTGTTTCCATTTTCTGAAGAAGGTATCTTTCCTGCTCAGTCATTGCAACGTTTTTAGCAACAAGTGTTATGGCCAGATACCATTAAAGATCTATTCAGTGTTGGATCTGTCAGTGGTCGTGGAGACTGGGATGTGCCTGACAAGATTAAAAAGAATTAAAGACACCAGCAGGGAAGTACACAAATTGTGCACAAATTTTGTTGTGCAAGAAAAATGCAGTGCAAGGGTATCAGTGCTAGTTTTTACTCTTTCATGATGGACTCTCATGGGTTGGATTGGCACAGTCTGAGCCATGCTGAGCTGGGTGGGGACCTGTCAGGTTGGTACTGGTCGGTACTGGTCAGTACTGGTCAGTACTGGTCGGGTCGGGTCCTGTCGAGTCAGTATTTATCGGGTCGGTACTGGTAGGTCCTGGTCAGGTCGGCACTGGTTGGGTCGGGTCGGTACTGATCGGGTCTGGTCGGCACCCAAAGGAGCGGTGCCGTCCCGCAAAGGGCACTCCCCACGTCCGTGGCAGCTGCAGAACAAGGCGCCCACCCCCATGATCCTGCCCGGGCTGACCCCCTGCCCTCCCAGTGGCTGTGGCCGTGCCCCCGCCGATCCCAGAGGTGCCTGTTCCCATCCCTGTGCTCACACTGTGCCCGCGCCAGCCCCAGGGACAGTGTCACCTGTCGTGACATGTTGAGTTACAGACCATGGGCATGAGGCAGAAGGTTGCACAGTACGGATGTGGACTTCAGGAAGTGAAAGAGGAAAACAGAAGGGTTGAAATTCCTGAGTGTTCCTACTGTCACAGCAGCCCAGCCACCCCTGGGAGTAACAGAAAGAAGGAAAGTTACAGCGGTGAGGGCACCATTTGTCCCAGTGCCGATTTCCTCTTCCACAGCTGCATCCAGAACATCAGTTCTGGGTACCAACAGCTTTGAATTGCTTAAATAGAGATGAAGACACATCCTGCCCTGAAAAACATGGACAAAATAACAGAACCATGATGTACAGATTAGAGTGTTGCTGCTTTGAGCCTGGGAACAGACTGAGTCCAAGAGAAAAGCAACAGTGACGCTTTTACAGGAGCACTGCTGCCTTCCCAGTGCCCATATCAGACCAGGGTTATGGGTTGGGAGCCCAGCTAAGGAAGGGATGTACTGCTTGAGTGTGAGCAAGCCCAGCAAGGGGGTGACAGTGACACGTGGATACTCCTTATGTGGCTGCTAATGCATTTTTTATCTCCTCCTTTAGGGGAGAGTAACAAGGCCTCTCGTACTTGAGCAACCTTCAAAGCAGCCTCCTGAGCTGTCGGTGCTGTCCTCATACAAAGCAGTTTATTGTCATCTCATCGCCAGGTTTGGGGTCTTTAGTGTGGCTTGGGTTTCTAATAATAAACCTGTAACAACAATCCCAATCCAGTGCAGCCTGGAAGAGACCGAGGTCAGACCTCACCGGGGTCTGCAGCTTCCTCACGAGGGGCAGCAGAGGGGCAGCTGTGACCAGGGACAGGACCTGAGGAACAGGCGGAGCTGTGCCAGGGGAAGTTTAGGCTGGATGTTAGGAAAAGGTTCTTCTCCCAGAAGGTGGTCGGGCTCCCCAGGGAAGCCTGATACAGCTCAAAGAGCGTTTGGACAACGCTCTCAGGCACATGGTGGGATTGCTGGGGGTGTCCTGTGCAGAGCCAAGAGTGGGACTCTGACGATCCCTGTCGGTCCCTTCCAGCTCAGGAGATTCTATGGAATAATTAATGTAATTAACTGTGAGAGAACTGTGAGGCACTGCGGGCAGCTCCGGTGGCCCAGGGGAGCTGACGGGCGGGCGGAGGGCTCAGACTGCCCCGGACGCTGCTCGCACGCCGCGGCCCTGCCGGGCCCTGCCCCGCCGGGGCGGAACGAGGCGGAGCCGGGCGGCCCCGCCACCTCCCCCGGGCCCTCGCCCGCGCTGCCGAGCGAGGCTCTTCCGGGCAGCGGGGCCAGGGCGGCGCGGGGCCGGCGGCCGCGGTGAGTACCGGGGCCGGGGATGGGCCGCGGGCGGAGGAGCCACTGCCGATGTCACCCCCACTGCTGTACCGCCGGCTGGGCGGGGACACAGTCCCCCGTGTCGCCTCAGCCCTCTCCACAGGACACCAGCCCCGCGTGTCGCCCCATCCCCTCCACAGGGGACCAGCCCCATCGGTCTCCTCTGTCACCCCTGCGGAGGCCCTGATCTGTTTGTCACCCCTGTCCCCTCCACAGGGGTCCAGCCCCATGTGTCATTCTGTTCACTCTGTCGGGGTCTCTGCTCTGTACGTCACCCCGTCCCCTCGACAGGCACCCAGCCCTATCTGCCACCTCAGTCCCCTCCATAGGGGACCAGCCCCCCATGCCACCCCCTGGTCCCTCTGCAAGGGCCCAGCCCCATCTGTCACCTCTGTTACCTCTGCAGAGGCCCTGATCTATTTGTCACCGTGTCCCCTCCACAGGGATCCAGCCCCATGTGTTATCCCATCCCTTCCGCAGGGTCCCAGCCCCATGTGTTACCCTGTCCTTGTGGAAGCAGGGCTGGACACTGGCAGTGCCACACAGCTGGCACTGTGGGGCTGCCTCCTCCCTGCACACATTGCAGCTCCCTGCTTCCCCACCTGCTCCCAAAATCTCCCCCTGACCACTCGCTGTCGCCTGAGCATGGACTCTGTGTCACAGGGATTGCGTGACAGCTGCACAGATCCCAGGCCTGCAGGATCGTCCTTTCCAGGGCAGGAATACACCGAATAACTTCAAGGTCAGATACCTGATAGCCAGAGATAGGGATTTTAATTATGAGTATTGATATTTTTATTTTTTTTAATTATAAACTATTTATTGTTATTATAATGGGAAGGGGGGGTGAAGGCTGGCTTTGTATCACTGTGCAATTAAAAAATCACCCGTATGGATCCTGTTAGAAAAAGATACATGAAATAGTGAGAAAGTACAGAAGAGGGCCATGAACATGCCTGGGTAGAGCCAAACCTCCTGCAGTTTACCTGTGAGGGTGTTAGAAACTAAGGAGCAGAAACAAGCTTGCAGCGATCAGGACTGAAATAAGAGCTTGCACTAACCTTGTTTAGCAAAGAAGGTTTATTTTTCTGAATGTGGAGATGAGGTGGACACGTGTCATGTCTCTGTGATCTACCTCATGTTTGATGGGGATGGGAAAAGAAGTGGCAGATTGAAAGCTGACACTGCTGAGTTGGCTGCAGGAGCCTCTAACATCTGGAGTGGCTTTAGTGCAGAATGACGAAATCTCTGGTCCAGTTACACGCCAAAGATGGCTCCTGTTTTGAGGAGAGAGCCCCAGCAGCAGGCTCGATCCGTTTCACCCAGGCTGCTGCTTTTGTTGCTAGGCTACAAGTGGGATGTACATTTATAAGCAAAAGAAGAAAAAAAAAAAACAAGTGTCTTGTAGCGTTGCCATGATTTGCCTTCTCCAGCGTTTCATTTAGGATTGCAATAGGAAAAATTGTAGTGCAGACAAAGATCTTTTTTTTCCCCTGGTGATTTAAGTAGGTATTTGGTGGTAGAAGCTGCTTTGGGGAATGAAAACTTGGCAAGTGGCTTTGTTAACATTTGGTGTAAGAACATTGCATCATACTTGTCCCAGTCATCAGCTGTGCTGCTTATTTTGAACTGTGGCAGCAAACTAGTGCAAATAGAGGAATACCGAATACCATTGCTTACCAACCCTGGTAAGTCTGATATGTGCTCTTTTGCCACCACACAAAAATGCTTTTTTTCCCCAGAAGTTCTTCTCATTTGAACTAATTAACTGCCCTGACTGACATCCCTGGACAAGGCCTTGTGTTCTTTTCTTTGTCAGAGCAATTAAACTCTGGGTAGTAGCTGGGTTTGCCTTTCTGCTGTTGCTTTGCCAATGTGTTGTAGTTTTAAAGTAGAACAAATCACTTTTTACTAATGGGAGGGTGGTTAATCTCCTGTCTTTTCTCCTAAGCCAACACAGCAGCCATTTGGGTGGGCATTGAGGAAAACTGGGCATTGGAAAAGAAAAATCTGAATTTGTTCAGACAAAGGAGCCCCAAAAAAGAACATTGTGTTATTTGAGGAATAAAGAGGCCTAACAAGACCTCTGACTATTTCTCTATGAAAGCAGCATGCAAAAGCAGGGAAATGTTTCAAAAGAACTCAACTGTGCAAAAACAAACAATTTGGTGCAAGGGACACTTTGCTAATAAACATGTTGAAGGAAGAAGAGCTGTTCTTCTCCCCATTTTATAGCAGCAAGTACTTTTCTCAACCTCAGGGGTTTCCAGCCTACATCTCATTTTGCAGAGCAGAGCACGGATAGCTGGACATCAGGCTGTTAAGGCACTGCTTTGAAAAATAGAGATTTAGGGGCCTAAGTGTGTCAAATCTATTTTTTCTCTCTCCCAGTGAGTCTGCCCATAAAATGTCAGCAGCATATGACTCTAACTTTTGAACTATTCCTATTATAAAGACTCCTAAAGAGGTCTGTTAAGAAAGAGGTAATGCTGTTACCTTCTATTTTTACTGGATTTTCGGGAAAAAGCCTAATTCTAATTTTTTTAAAAAGAAATTCTTAGTTGCCTCTGGGAGATTTTGTGAATCATGATCTGATCTGAGCACCTTTGCATCGCCTGAACTTAGGGATCTGAGTCCTGGTAAAGGACACCACACAAGTTATACCTTTCTTTCACTATTTGTGTTGGCTCACTTGCCCTCCTATGTGCAGACTGGTTAGAATTCTCTTTTAAGCTGGAATACCCAGCACATTCCATGTTTTGTAACTGAGAATTGCGGGTTGTAGTTTGGGAGTTTGTGAGATGTCACAATATGCATTATCGCAATTATATCTGCACTACTTTTGGATGTAGAATTCTCTTCAGACTTCTCTCTGGGTTCACAGTTACATCACCATGAAATTTCTTTTTCTGTCACCCTACTCCCAGTTTTAGTTTAGATACTGGAAAGAACTGACAAAGTTTCTTACTTATGGAGTGCATTTTTTCAAGGCTGGGGTTAAAATACAAGGTGTCAGCGACATAAGTAAATATAAATGTTTCCAAGCAGGGTAGCAAAGCTGCTTTTCATCATTTATGCGCTGCTGCATGAGTTCAAGTTGCCCAGAATTTCCAAGACCATGTGCCCATCTGGATTTTTCAGTCATGCAATACAGTTTATAGATGGTATAAATAAATGATCAAATGTCTGAGTTGTTCAAAATTGTCTGGTATGTTACTGTCTGAAATATATTAAATAGTAATTGCTACTCTCTTAGCTGTTGCTTTGGTTTGAAAAGTGGTTGCATGACCTTCAATGGGATGTTTAAAACATGAACTTTGAAAAGGAACTGCAGAGAGTTGA